AACAGAGCAGTCTCCTTATTTCTAATTGTTAGATCATCCCTTTTTAACTCCAGCAAAGATGACTTGCAGATTAAACCTCTTGGGGGTCAAGGCAGTTGTTCTGTTTGTACAGCAATTAGCACAGCAGGATCCCAGGCCACAAATGGCCTCCAAGGCTACGTCTGCACTGTCTGTTAGCTCAAGCCTCATTCCTCCTGCAAGCCAAACTTCCCAGCTCTCAACACCGCCTACACAGAGGTTTTTACTCTGGCCTAGCCAGGAACACGAAGTGAGCTCACACCTCGTGTAGAGACCAGCTCAGGCTTGAGCTGCGCTCCACGAACAGCACAGACGCAGCAGCTCTGAGCTCTTCCCTCAGCAGGGTCACCCCGAGAGGCTGCCATGGACTGAGCTGCAGTTTTGGTGCTCAACAGAGTCTGCAACATCTTAACTCGGAAAGTAAAGATGAAGTGAAGTCACAGATCTCAAGCCCACCACCCCAGCTCCCAGGAAATCTCGCAGAAAGGAAGGTGTATTTGTGAGTTCCCACTCCGAGCAGCAGAGGACAGGCTGCTTGCATTGTTTCACCTTTGTCTTGGGTGAAAGTAAAACAGCAGCTCAAAGAATCTAATGGACCACGTGGGTTTTCAAAAAGAGATTCTGCAAAAAACCCATCTAACAACACAAGTGAAACTGTGCAAACAGCAACAGCTGCTTTCACAAGCTTTCACCATGAAAGAATGATGCAACAGCTCAATAGTGCAATCCTGATTCTGCCATGTTATGGACTTCAAGACCAGTCAGCTTTAATCTAGTACAAAGGTCTAATGCGCATCAAAGAAAAAAATCAAAGTTAGGCAAGAAATAAGGGTCACAATCTTAACAATTTGGCTAATTTAACTAGAATTATAATGAAATCCCCAGCATTTAAGAGGAAAAGCTCTACAAGAAACCATGCAAGTCAAATGGAAGAGACTGGCTGAAATCTTTGACCTGTCTTACCTGACATCCAGCTGGAATAGCATTGAGTATCCTCCTTTCCATGAGGATCATGCTCTCCCAAGCAGCACCTGAGCTCATCAGCCCTTTTCCAAGCAATCCTAGCATGTTCCCTGCCACTCCCAATTTTCAATTCTCCACATATTTAGTTTTCAAATTTTACATTATATATTTTGCCTGGGGCACAGCAGATCACTTACCCTTCTCCTACTAGCTCTCTGTTTAATTACAGTTTAATGTGAATTGATCTTTACATTAATGAGTCTGTAAAGAAGATTGATTTTCTTCAAGAGACTTTTCTGCTCAGTTTGGCAGCAGAGTAGTCCTATTGATTTCGCTTTCCCCAGTAAATACACTGCAGTGTCACTGCATCTTCTTGTGAATCAGCTAATCCTATTTCACACTCTTTTGCTCTAAAAATCCCTGTTCTGAATTCCTTGTTATCTGTGCTTATTCAGAGCAAGATGATGGGGCCAAAGCATCTCAAACAGCTCTGCCTGTTGCTAACACACAGCTGACTGCTGTGGGTCACTGTCCCCTTTGTTCCTAAAGGGCTGGAGGCTTAAAAGACTTACAGTGAAAGAAATGAAAGTTATTTTTAAGTGTTTAATCTCTTAACTTCCTTAATTCCCAGCCAGCTAAGGATGTGGCAGAGTATGGTCTGTTTACCACACTTGCTTCTGAGGTCTGGTTAGCACTCTCCACCGAGCCCTACAGCTGCCCAACAGGCTGTGGCAGAGGATGCTGACTGAATCAGGCTCAGAGCCAGGGCAGAGGATGAGGATCCACCTCCATCATCCTGTCCAAACACCCCAAAACCCCTCCAGGATGCAGTTACTCACATGCAGGTGATGAAGACAGGCCCCAGAGTCAGGGTTGAGCTTGTGCCTGCTCTGGGGTTTGTAGGAAACCCATACTAACAGACCAGTGCAGGGCTGATTGCAGCTCCTTTAACCTGGCAAGCGTAAGAGTTCTTTCATGCAAGTTAGTGAGGAAGTTGGATATAAACAGATTAAGTTCTGCAAATAAATGGTTTCTTCCATCATCCCTTTCCCCACCAGATCAGGTAACATGGTCTGCTTGAGAGCCTTCAGAGTTAACACACTGTAGCTGCACTGGGATGGGAAATCCTCAGCCAAGGGCATGTCAGTGAAAACATCCTGCCATCAACTCCCAAATGTCCAAGTCTAGGAACTGTAACTAAATTACAAATGCTGTGGGAATTTCAGGCAAGGTTCTCCTCTCAGCTATTCCGATGTAATTTCGGACTGAATCCAGATTTGGTCTCTCCCCCTCCCAGCTGAATTTCCTGGCTTTTGTTTGCACTAACAGATGTTTGCATTTAATGTCTGTCTTTATTTGGTAACCCGTACATAGATTATTTTTCCCTTCTGTTCTATTAAAAGCCTTATCAAGTCCCTTATGTTTGCTCTTGCTGAAATGAACGACTTTGGCAATATTTTCAGCATGCAAGGCAAACAAACTGATTCTTCGAGGAATAACTAAACTGAACCAAACTTCATGGCAGTATGTCAGGACAAAGCATTTTTGATACATATGTTATGTCTGCATCCATCTGCAGCCTGGGACATCCAAAGGCTTGCAGAAAGCTTTGAGAATTCTCTCTTCAACAGATTCTCACATATATACTTAACTGGCCTTTGGTCCTCACACATGTGGGGGTCAGGCAAGTTTTGGGTGATGGAGACAGGTAAGGAAAACCTCAAAAGCAGGAATGTAAAGCAAAGCTCATTAAAAAAAAAAGAAAAAANAAAAAAAAAAGAAAAAAAAAAGAAAAAAAGGCAAAACCCCAAAAAAAACCCACACAACCAAAAAAAAAAAAAAAAAAAAAGAAAAAAACAGTATTGTTTAAAAAAAACCCAAAAGGAGAAAAAGTGTGCTCTCCTGTTTAGGAAGAGTAGGAGACTAAATAACTCATTTAGAAGGGATGTTTTGAGTGACAAATATACAACCCTAGCTTTTATAATACATTAACAGTCCTTTGGAAATACTTAACCACATGCAATATACAAAACCTACTTCAGAGGTTTGTGAGGTAAACACACTTCACACATTTCTAAACACTGAAAAAAAAAGGAAATGTATTTATTTTTCTTTAGCATTAAGAATACACTGTAACACTATACACTTAAACACAAACCAGTTTCTCAGTACACAAGTCTTCATTATGAGTCTTCACCCTGGGTTTGGTTTGGCAGCCTCCCCAGTTATTACTCCACAGATTGGAAGGCCAGAAGAAACCAGTATGACCATATAATCTGATTCCTTACATCACACAAGGCTCAACAACTTTACCCACCAATTTGCCTATCAAGCCCATTAACCTAGGGTTGAACTAAAGGCCCATCTTTTAGGAAACCAACCAATTGATTAAATAAAGACTCCCAAAGATGGAGAAAACATCACTTCCTCAGCAAATCATTCCAATGTGAGTCAGCAACATTGATTGCAGCAGGTACTTTAAAACATCATTCAGGTTATTTTTAGCTCTGATAAAAATTAAAAGGCAATGCAAGGGGGAAAAGAAGTGGCATTCTCTAATACAAGCTAAACAAAGAGACCCTTCTTGCAGAAGTATGGCAGCAGCATTACAAACGCTGCTATCAGAGTTATTTATGTGTAGCAGCTGAGGAGAGCAATTCAGATTTCTGGAAAGTGATACTAAGCAGATTTGTTCAGAATCCCATCCTTTTATCATTTGGCTTTGTAGCTTCTCCTTCCTTCTGCACCACTCTGAAATTTCAGAGGAGCTGTAAATCTACTGCCTTCCACAAGTCATTATTCCTCCTTTCCAAACTGCTTATTTCATTTCAGGAATAAAAAACCCAAAGCTCCAGCAATTTGGTTCTTTGCCAACAGCTAAATTAATAGCAAAAATAACAACAGGGGCTTGTGGAACTCAGAGCATTTATAGACTACATGAGAAAGAGAAGCCAGTCTGGGGGGCCTAAGACTATATCCCTGGATGGCAAGTTCTATGCAAGCTTTCCATCCATAAATCAGATTTCTGGAGGTCTTTTTCAAACCCTGGTGCACAGCACAAACGTGGCAGCACAGTAAGCCAACAGATGAAGACTGCCTCAGAGTAAGTCAGAGCCTTTCAAGCAAGAGAAGCCAATCAGCTGGTGGTGTGGTCATGGGTACTTTCCACCACAAGAAACACCAAATCCATGGAGAACAGATACCTGCCTGCAGATGCACTGGAAGCCACCACCTGAACTGCTCCAGCACTTTGCTAGAGTCCCTGTTAGCTATAAACACTTCCCAGAAACCTGGGAGGTATCATGCATACCTCAGCAAAACTCCTCAGTGCACATTACAGGCAGACACATGCAAAAATCATTTCCACACTCTTTAGGTACTAAATAGTTTGATATTTTAATATTTTATTCCCTTCAGCAGCATCATTGACACAAGAGCCTTGGTGGCCAATACCCAAGAGCTCTCAGGTGTCTAATGCTTCTGTGGTCATCTAAACCACCAAAGATGGAACTTCAAACTTTCTGCAGATCATGCTTTACAATCACTGCTCTCTCAAAAGAAAATGTTAAAAAGAAGTTGAAAGAAATCATAAAAACAGGTCTGCAATGAGTTCCCTAAAAGATTAAGATATGAATACTCTCTGGCTTTAAGAGGAAAGCAAAAATGGTCAGAACAGAGCCAGGGAAAAAAAAAAGAATAAAGAAAATGTAAAATTTAATAGCACAAGTATGACCTAATGTTTGAAACCCAAAGGCAGATGAGGAAAAAAAAGCTTTTTCCACCTGTGGAATTTACTGACATAAGTTACCAATGACCATAAGCACAACCCACAACCTCACACAAATCGCACTACTCCACGTGACGTTTCTTAATTAAGGTTAATTCATTCTTAAATTTCTTAGCAAGCCAAAAACCAAAATCTTGAGTCAGCAGGAATGAGTGTGACACCATGAAACTCTCAGAGGCAGCTGCACCCTCCCCACAGAGACCCAGGGCTGGAGGAGGTGGCAGTGACTTACAGGTGCAGGGAGCGGATGCTGGAAGCAGCAGGTCCCAGCGAGGGAATGGCACTCAGCTCGTTGTGCTCCAGCCTCCTGCAAAAAACAGAAATTGAGGGTTGAAGGCAAGCTGTGCACAGGTATTATGCAGGGGAGGGCTGACACTGGGGCAGAAGCTTCCATCTGAAAGGGTTTTTCTGCACCTCTGATGGCCACATGTTACTCTTTAATACATGAGAGCCACCACCACTGGTTCCACTGCTCTCTACAAGAATAAGGATTTTTCCCCCCCTGCCACCCACTCCAGGCTGGAAAGCATCATGCCACTGTGGTAGGCACATTTTTCTCTCTTTCAGGATTTTTTCATAGAAGAGTACAGAGGAAAGAAAGAGAAAACAATTTCTATTTCTGCTCTTTGTTTTCCCATGTGGAATGTGTTTGAAGAATTGTTTACTTGGGGTGATTGCTTGGTTGGATTCTGGTAAGGATTGTTTGAGCCTGATGGCCAATCCAACCCACCTGGGGCTGGACTATGGAGAGAGGGGCACGAGTTGGGAGTTAGTTAGATATGGTAGTTAGAAAAAGTAAGTATGTAGTTTTAGTATCTCCTTTCAATAGTATATTAATGTATTATAGTATAGTTATAATAAAAAATCATTCAGTCTTTTGGAGTCAGACATCATAATTTCTTCCCACCAGGTTCACCTACATTTACAATATGCCACGGCCCCCACCAGCCTGTGTTTCCAGAGCCAAACCTGAGACAGGAGACTTTTGCCCCTGAAGGCCATGTGTGCCACTGGCTCAGGACAGGAATTTCACCCCTTCCCCAAGCAGCAGCCCCTGCTCACACCAGGTCAGGGCCTGGGGGCTCAACCTAAGTCCATACCAGCTCTGGAAATCCCAGAGGGATTTCCCCACAAAAAAAAAACCAGCACAGCAGTGCTGGGCACAGTAATGTCACCAGGCACAGAAATGTCACCAGGCACAGAAATGTCACCAGGCACAGGAGCTCTGCTCGAGCAGCTGGGAGCACAGAGGCAGCCCAGGCCACCCGCTCCTGCAGCCACCAGCACAGTAATGTCCCTGCCAGGACCTAATGCTTCAAGTGTTTCTGTGACTGAAAACAGATCCTTGCCATGTGTCTGGCTCTTCCTTGCTTTAAAGAGCCCTTGTTTGTACGGTGAATTAGCCAATTAATTACTGTAACAGTCGCTTGTCTGGTTGCTTAAAATTACCTAATTTCTCAGTCTCCTTGCCCACCCCCCCACTTTTGGTTGCGGGGTTCCCGGGAAGCCCTGGCCAGGCTCCCCAGGACCCCCAAAAAGCCCTGCTGCCATCACTGCTGCTCCAGGCACAGCCTCTGGTCCCTGCAGGCCTCCCAAGCGCTCCCCTTCTGCAGGGAATCCTGACAAGATCACAATTTGGGTGCAAAGCACAGCATCCCAGAGCTGCACAGCCAAGGGCTGCATGAGTAGGGGCAATCCTAAATTACATTTTTTTTTTTTTTTTCCCTTCTCCTTTCCTATTTTTGGCAGGTGGGAGAGGGCAGTGGCACATTTATCCCAGAACTTCCCTTCTGGCTCCTCTGAGAGGAGGCAAGATATTTGATTTCACAAGGAGTTCCAAGCACTGCTGGGATAAAAGCTTTCCTCTGCCTCTGACATTATACCCATGCCTTAAAATGTAAGGGAAAAAAAGCCAGATGCATTGCAATTCAGCAAGGAACTCCACTCTGCAACTAAAAGCTCATTGTTGCTCATATTACAACATGGTCTGGAGCTTCCAAAGGTACAAAGCAAGCTGGAAAGAGCATTAAAATTCTTATTTGAGCACGTTTTCATTAACATCTAACTAAGCATCTTCTGGAGAAGGAGCCTGTGTCAGCTCTGGTTAAGCAGCTCTGACACCAACCAGCATCTAACAAGTGGTCAAACCCTCCTCTGACATAAGTGTGATGTTCATGTATCAGCCTCCTGTCAGAAGTCAGTCAGAAGTGGTTCTCCCACCTCATTTTCTCTCTTGGCTCAAAGGCACCATTTGCTGACACAGAGGAGGCAGCCAAGCTCTGTATTTGCCTGGGATTTCCCACTCATCTTCCCTTTTTCCCTATGTAAAGGAATTGAAAAAGAAAAGTAAAAAAAAAAAAGAGAGGGGGAAAAAAATACCCTCAAAACAGAACAGCTGGGCTCAACAACTTTAAAACTGTTCAGTCTCCTTCCCCAGCCCTCACCTTTGACGACACAAACCCTCTGGATGCTGAAGCAGAGGAGGAGGGGGGGCCACCCGTATAAAATATTTACAGTCAGTTGCCAGGCTGGTGTCAAGCTGAAATGGAGCCTGCTCAAAAATAGCACAGCTCTCCAGAGCTTTCAGTGAAAGGCACTTTAGAAAATAAAAGGTGAGTTGTTTGGAGAGGAATTTTAGCGTGGTTACTACTTTCTTTGCTACCAATGAGCCTGGAAAGCCTGAGAGCCATGAAACCACCAGTCTGGTGGATTCCATGATCCATATGACCTGAGGAAACCCCAGAAAGGAGCACAGGGTCTACCCCACAGCAGCACCCTCCATCCATCCTTCCTACCAAGGAATGAGGATGGATGGACACCAGGGGATTGTCATCAGATGAAGCCACCAAAAGGGATGAAAGAAAGATCAAAAAAAAGGAAGATTGTCCTGAAGGAAAATAATGTCCCAGTTCAGCCCCTACCCTGAACCTCCACCAGTTATTTCAGATCAAGTGGGATCACAGGGTTTTGCATCACTAAATTTCATCCTACACAGACTTAAAACTTTTCTAAAAGCTTCTCATAACTGCCACCAAAACAAAGCACACAAACAACTGCCTTAACTCAGGGAAAAGTGTAGGTAAATTCTGCTATGGCTTTATCACACTCTCAGTAAAGCAAAGCAGAGAATCGAAGATAAGGTATGAAGTTTAAGTCTTTTAGTCTGCAGATATTTTCTTTAAATCGAGGGCAAACAAAATGTTTTCAAAATACACCACACTAATTATTCACATGGAGAGACACACACAGAGTTTTAAGCCTTGTGTAATGCTCAGACAACACGTTTGAAGCACCATGGGAGGTTCAGGTCTTATCAATGCATCTATTATTTGGGGCAATCTCTTTCCCTGAGGGTGCCTTGGTTTGCCCAGCACAGCATGCACAGAGAAACACTGACTTGCTCTCCAGACATGCCACAGCATGATGCTTATTTCATGAATGTTTGTAAAGTGCTTTAAAAAAACCCTCAGACAGAAGATGCTCTGGCAATACAGATGTGGTTCTCCTTGTGAAATGAAGTTTATTTCAGTGGTCTGTGGTTTAGCTGTTATTCAAAAGCAACTAAGATTAGTAGATAGGGCTTTTAATAGAGCTTCTCCCTCACACTTCCTAGAGCCTGCCTTCCAGGCTCTGCTCCAGACCTCTGCCTCCCCTCCAGTCTCCCATTTCTGACTGCTCCCTTTCCCTCCTACTCACTCTTCTGCTCTCTCCCTATTCCCTAACCCTGTCCTTCTGACACAGCAAGCAGCTCTTATCTACCCATTATATTGTGGCTGCATTATTTATCTCCCAGAAACCCTGACACCTTTTTAGAGCATGCCCTGCTCTTACACATGCAGTACTTTGCTCAAGGGAATTCCTACCTGAGGAATCAGAAGCCACACACCCCGTGCTCCCTGAAGTCACACACCTTCAGGCACTTCCATGAATAAAAGCTATTGCTAAGCCACAGTCATGTTAGGATAATTCTAACGTCTCATGGTATCAAGGCTGCAATTCTCTTCTTTAAGCACTGAGCAATTTAAGGCTTTCCACAGTGAAAAGAGCAGTTGAGAAAACAGATCCTACAGGCAGTGTTCTGCTGACCCACATCACTTTCTCTCTAAAGATCATGCAGAGCTGATTTCAGAGCACTGCAGTCACTTCTGATGTACATTCCTCACTTACTCATGATTCCCAGCAAGTCCCTACTATTCATGTAAACAGAGGAGCCAGGGGCCATCAGGCCAGGGGAGAGATGCTACTTTAAGCTCCACAGTCCAATCCAGCAGACCATCAGTCAGGGAGAATTTCACTTTTTGCCTAATTAAGAATCACAGGATCTGGTCCCTCCATGAGTCCCAACACTTAATGAAAACAGAGGACAAGAGCAAATACTTGACAGAGCACAGTATTGTTTCTGAAAGGAAATCTTTTTTTCAGTTTCCCATGAGGCACCACTAGCTCTTCAAACAGAGCCCAAACCTCAAGTATGCCAGCGATTCACCAGGCAAACACGAGCTCATTACCTCAGCCCACCGCCTGCAACTTCAGCCACTTTTGTTTTTTAAACCCCAAAATTCAGAACTCCGGGAATCCCTGTGAAGGGCTGACAGTGCAGCCCCTCTCTGAGTGGAACTGCTGAGCCTTCACAGAGATCAGGAGCTTGGAAAACCTGCAGTTCACCGAAATAGGTTTGTTTTACCAGCAAGGAGGGTCTGGCACAGCCACTCAGACCTCCCCCAGCTCCTTCTTTCCCCACCAGAGCAGAAGACAGCTCTGCTGGTTTATCCTCTTCTAGCAAGACGTCCAACAGAATTTGTTCTGATTCCAAAAGGAGCACGAATGTCTGAGAGAGGAGGAGGCACAGTTAAATGCTTTGTTACACTACACCTTTGTTTCCTGCGAGATTTGGGCTAGGTTGGCATCAGGTATCACAATCCAGGCTGCTGTGCCTTGCTTCAGGGTTATGCTTTCAGCAAGGAGCTCTGTGTGTGTGTTCAGGTGTGCTGAACTGCTGCCTCCAAGCATTGCACAACACCCAGGGAGGCAAACTCCAATGATTTCCAATAACAGCTCTGCTGTTTTAATTGGGATGTTGTGTTCTGCTCATTGATTAGTTAAAAAAAAAAGCAGCCCAGATACAATATAGAGGGAAAAAACTCCACACCGAGTCAGACCTGCTCATTCAACTTAGCTAAGGAAGGTACTGTCTTAGGAAATGAGATATAATTTCCTCACAGCCCACAAGCAGCCCTGCCAAATACAATTAAAACCTTTTAAGGAATACTTACACTTCCTGCAGGTTCAACAGCTCTGCAAAGACAGAAGGATCAATCTCTGCCAACTTGTTGTAGCTCAGGTTTCTGTTAAAATAAAAGACAAAGGGATCAGCAAAATACAGTCACCCTGCTCAGCAAAACAAAGTCATCTTAATTATTCTGGATTGCACTGGGAGGGTTTGGGGTTTGGTTTTTTTTTTTTTAAAGAGAACTTAAATGGGAGAGCAGCACTTTTCTGCTGAATACACAAGTAAGTTTAGTTCCATGACAAAAATGTTATCTAGCTCTCCCCAAGCTTCTTCCTCTTTTGCAGTAGATTAGTGTGGTTTTAATTTGTCTTCATATTACACAATTACATTTATTATTCTACTATTGATTATTTCCAACCACAAAACTAATCACAGATGAATAGAATGTTTCCTGACAAATTAAAGTCTGAACTGAAACAATCAACAAACCTTCCACTAAATATTTTATAGCTATAGTCACACAGGGTATTTTTTATACCACTGTGTTACACACAAAATACACACACAGAGGTATGCACACTATGTGTAAACATAGAATATATTCTATATTTTGTAACAAGATGATATAATTAGTCTATCACTAAATGTTTGGGTTTTTTTTAATCAGTAAATACAGCTTTCAAGCCACATAGCAGTACACACTTTGGTCCTCAACAACCCTAGCCAACACTTTCCAACTATCCAACAGCCCAAATCTAAACCTAAATCATATTCTAGCACCAATGGATAACAAATGGGTTGTGTTGTATTATCTGAAAGCAGCCTGGTGGGAGAGCAGCTCTGCCTCACAGGACATCTCTGATTGGAAACACATCCAGAGCTCAACATGCTGCAGGAAGGAACACACTGCAAGGATTGCTAGGGACAGCAAACAGGCAAAATAATGCAAGTGCCAACTCCAGAAATCACAAGCAAGAGCTTTGCCATGCTCTGCTGTAGCATCACACAGCAGTCTTCCCTCCAAGATGTGCACTCTCAGCACACCACACAGGACAGGTCAAACCTGAAGCTAGGGACTAACCAGATCAATTAAGACCAAGTGACTAATGATGAAGAAAGTAACAAGTGTTTAATTACAATTTTGTATGCAGTGCTGGCATGTTTCTGTGAGTGTGTAATCTAAAGAGGGAGGAGGCAAATTGATGGGTGGTAGCAGAAAAGCAACCACAGTAAATTGTAAGGAAATTGTGAGGGGGACTTCTTTAATTTTACGTTGCTCCACACCCTGCTCTCGGATATTACCCTGGGTAAAATTCACCCCTTGTGCCTCCTCTGCAGGGAGGCTACACCCTCTTACTGCACCTCTGAACACAACCCAAAAGATTCAAGGTCTGATTTTAGATAAACCCTCAAACATTGAGCTGCTTATTCAAACCACCAAGCCAGTCTGACTAGAAAACTGGCCAATCTCCATGGTTTGGGTTTTTCTTTGCTTTAAAACTGTGCCCACAGAAAGCAAGCAGGTCTGCAACCCAAACAGGTAAACAGGATCTAAGTCACCGAGGCACCTCCTGATCTTCTACCAGTGCTCCATGACCCAAGAGCTGAGGCACACACAAAGGAAAAGCAGCTGCCAGAAGGGCAGTGATGGAAAATATCTCCTGAAGTGCTCACACCAGCACACTGCACTCTGTGGCAATGCACAGACAAATCCAGGCTCACAGCAGCCCTACAAATACCAAGACTTGAAAGACTGCAAAGCTTACCAACTTTGTGTGATTAGCAGGAAGTGATAAACACCTCTTTCAAGCTAAAAAGCAGATATTGATCACCTGCCCTCTTGCAATGCATTTATGGGAAGCCCTCAAAGCGTTCCCTTACACAAGGGAATAATTTGATGTCTCTCACATCACACCATTTTCCATAATTTCAGCTGAAGGCAGCTCCTCGCATCTTGCCCAAAATGTTCAATTTTTTGTCAACACCTGCTGTGGAAGAATGCTCTACAAATCAACAACACAGGCTGGCTGGCTCTTAACAGAGCCTAGAACTGAAGCTATACAGGAGTGTAAAACCTAACCAAGCATCTCAGTTTAAAATATGCTGTCCTGTAAGCCCCTACTGTCTTTTAAAACACTCAAGAGACCTTTAAATCAATACCAGCCTACAGCAGATATCCATTTCACTATGAACTCAAAGGCATTTATCTAAATAAAAGTCAAACTGCAGTTTAAACTCGGAGTGTGTTTGAAAGCCAAGTCTATATTCATAGCACAATTATGAATTAAAGTGCAATTTGCCCACAGATTACATTACTACCTTTTTTTTTTTTAACCACACAGTAAGATCAGGTTGGAGCTTGTCCCTGCCTGATCTACAGGCAAAAAGAGAAAATACAACAGGTAACAGCACAATACAGGCTCAGCACAATAAAACAGATACACAGAAATATGAGTGACAAACTAAAAGGGGGAAATACAGCCAGACACGATAGTGCATGAATCCATCCGTTTTCATGTATTTCTGTGCCCTTTACTGCAGCCAAACTTCACATTTTTCAGGTATTTCTCCTCAACACATTCCTCTGCAATAGACTAAGAGGCTGTTTTATGGAGCAAGAAACAAGAACACATGCACCAGATCTGATCATCCCTGCACTTGCCAGAGGGACCAGATCCCTGCCTTAGCCTGTGCTCAAGCACTGAGTGACATGGACACGAACCTCCAAAATTCACAAGTGAAAAGACAAAGATCTTCACAAATTAAAGGATTTCACAGCCACAGTTTAACATTGCCCAGAGTGACTTTCTGACTATTGCTGCTGCCATTCAGGACATTTGAACATCAAAGTCACTGCACAAGTCACTGGCTCTTCAGATAGCAGACAGATTTTGCTGCACCACCACCAGAAAGACTTTCCAACAGCTGCTGCAGAAATGCAGGTGAACTCCAGCCCCTTGCACACCAAAGTCCTCAGTTCTCCCCACACTACTCACCCCAACCACACCACGTATCCTCACTAAATGTAGACTATACTGCTCAAAAATCAGTGGGGAAATGAAAGCTAAAAACACAGTCAGTACAAAACAAACAGGAGACTTGAAATTACATAGATACGCCATGAAAAAGTTTACCGAGTTTCTGGCACTGGCTATACTTTAACTTATATTAATATACCTAAGAATTTCTAGCCTGCAGCATTAGCAATCAAAGGATGTGTTTCTCAGAACTGATGCCCTCACTAGGCAGTATGTGGCATGCCAGTCACAGCATTTAAGTGAGAGAAAGAATTAACTCCAATAGATAGATCATTGGGACTGGGAGTCAGGAAACCTCTGTCTATTCCTGGCTCTCTTAATCTCCTGCTGTGTGACCGGGTCATGTCACATCACCTCTCCAGAGCTTTTGTTTCCACAGCCACCCTTTGTCTGTCTTGTCTATTTAGACTGTAAATAAAATTGAGGTAGGTATTGTCTTGGTTTGCCTGATGCTGATGAAATGAGGCCTCAGTCTTGGTTGGGCTCCAGTAATGCAAATAAAGAAGGGAGCTCAAAACTTGAGGTCATGGGTGCACATAATGTTCTACCAGCCCTAAATGTGGGTCCCAAATGTCCAGCAGTGAACAAAGCACTACAGGGGCTTTAATGTCCCCACCAGGCTGGCCTCTCTGAGCTGAGCAGACCATCAGTGGAGCAGGAGATGCCAAGCCTGGGGGCACAGCTGTCCCAACACTGAAAGCTGTCCCATTTGCTGTTCTCTGTAGCACAGAATGCATTCCTTCTCAAGGAGCCCTTGGGGTGATGCCACAAAGTCACCCAATGGATCACCAAACCAATGTTTCTGCCATCAGTTTTCCAAAATGTGTTCCTCAGGGAAAGAGAGCCATCAACTCCCAACACCAAAACCCTGTCCTTTCCCAAATCAGCACCTGCCCAACCCTCTCTCATGCTGGGCACCTCTTCAAAGCCAGTTTATAAAGCATCACCTACAGTGTTTTATGGCAGTTCCAAGAGCCCATGTCTTTGGTGCATGTTCTGCCCATTTCCTGCCCCCTGCATGTGAGGTTAGCTGAGCCCAAATGTGGGACTGCCCACAAACTGCTCAGTGCCCTGGGCCTGCTTCTCTGCATGGCCATGTGCTTCTGTTGAATTACTCATGGAAGGATATTTTGATCCCTCCAAGGCAACTGTGGAAAGAAAACAGAAGTCAACTAATATCAATTCAAGAGCCTGAGCTGTGAGTTCAGGGAAGCATCCTACAGAGGTTAGAAGTTATACAGCTGGCAGAGAAGAAAGAGCAGAACCACCAACCTGAGCGGCCCCTAACATTCAGATTGTTTTTTTATACCAGCTTCTATTGAAAAGGAAAAGCTGGTTAAGTGTTTTTAAACTTTATTCTGATTTACTGGCATGAAAAGTGCTCTGCATATAATTTACCCGTTACAGACTTCAAGTCTTCCTTGTATTGGCTAATCCAACAATGTAGGTTTTTCCCCTCCTGTCACTAAGATGCCCATGATCAGGAACTGAGAGCCTGTTAAATCAATATGGGAAGGGCCCTGTTCTGTCTTTTCAGCCATTCCAGACTCCGAGTAAGAAAGCAGTTTGCCTTCAGTTGGCATTGTGAAAGTGGCACTGAGGATCACTGAACACCACAGAGACTGAAGGGACAGTCTTGTTAAATAACTGGGTATGTTCAAACTACCTCCCAAAAGAAGTAATGCTGTCACAAAAAGAGTCCTGCTGGCCACTGAGAGGGATCAGTCAGTTGCCTGATTTGTGAGAGGCCAGCCCTGCCCCCTTGGGCAAGGCACAGGGTAGATCAGGAGTTTATGTTCAAGTTTTGGCTCTGCTTTGGGACCTTGACCAGTGCAGAGAAAGCCACCTACCTCTCTGTTGAAAACAGAAGTGCCTGTCTGGCTCACCAGACAAAGGAACAGACAGGCATGGCTCCTGGTCTCTCCTCACCACCATGATGGCTCAATTCTGTTCTGCAAGGTGAAAGTTTCCAACCCTTGCATCAAAACCATTTATCTGTCAGCGCAGAAGATTATGTCAAAAGTGTTTCTGCACCTTCTGATGACAGGCATTGGAGAAAAGGAGGATGGCTTGAAAT